GAGATGAATTTAAATTGCGAACAATGTCAATTTATGCGTGCATTATTGCCATCTGTGGATGAGGAAGCTCTAATTAATCGAGTCAAGAATGTTTATACAAAATTCATTGAATATTGCGGCAACAACTCTGTAATTGTTAAGCAGAGTCGATTCACATGACGCTTCAAACTTTTAAATTAAAATAAACCCCAAACTTATTACATTATATAAGATTTTTAAACCAGTCAGAGCCCGCGAGAGACTATCGTGGTGATCTCCCGTAAATCAAAGAATATTACATCAACAAAGAACAATTAATTTGACAGTACTTTGGTGATATAGATTCCGAAATCGTAGACATGTCGTTACATAAACTGTTACAGGTTCTACTTATGGGTTAAGAAATCGAAGTAAATAACGACTGTGAACCTCTAATCTATGGTTGTCGTTAGTTACATATGCAATCTATCTGTATATCTAATCTGTATAGCTAATAGAGGAAAGGGCCTATTTCATTGAAAATTGATTTAAAGACAACATGTGTCGTGTCTTCAACTACTATTTCGACAACATTACGTTTCTGTTCGAAAAATTCGTACTACTATATCTACTATCATAACATTGTATGGGAAGCTTACTTTAGTAGCTTCCCATACAATGTTTTAAGTCGATTTTAGCGTTAAATACTTTACATGGACAGTGAAGTGAGTAATTCGTGTGTCTTTTGTTATGTATACAAACATTAGGGCTCCTACTTTACGCAAAGCTTAGCCTTTTAATACACATTCTACGCAGACGTTAGCAATTTAAGTCATCCAACTAAGGCTCGTTTGTAAAGCTTTTTATATTATCTATAATCATTGAACGTGATTCGTAATTAACAAATGCAATTACCATCCATTAAATAGTTAAACGTGTCAAGGCTGTACATACTACAACTCCAGCGCAATCCGCATAACAACACCTGTTTCCGGGTGTGGAAACACGGCAATTGTGATCTTATGATGCTACCATGGAGGTGATATTAGCATATGATTAGAAACAAGTTTTTACTCATCGACGTTTATAGCGTAAGGTTAATGGTAATCTTGATTATGGCATTCGGAGTAATGATCGTGATAAAGAATTAATTCAATAAAAAGTTTCTATATCTCTGAATTTTTTACAAATATTGTATGATATGGTAATACGTTTCCAATTACAATTATGAAGTAATAGACTCGGCCTCAGATTTTTGTACCTATTTCATGATCATTTGTTAATCTAATAGACATGTAGATGATCAGCCTGTGCCTGACGCACGCCGTCGAGTTTTTTGGTCTAAGGCAAGCCAGATTCCTCACGATGTTTTCATTCACCGTTCGAGCAAATCTTAAATGCGCACACAGAAAAATAGCCGAGGGATCTAACCCACGATGGGATGGATCTCAGGGATGAGGGTCGCATGCTGAAGCCACTAGGCCAACACTGCTCCTTACTCTCCTTAGTCTAGTTATTAATAAAGATAATTCACACTAATTATTACATTTGGTAATTTGACGTGAAGTTTTCTTACGTTGCTTTCAATGTCTTTAGTCACATTGACGGCTCATTGGTCTAGTGGTTAGTACCCCTGACTGCGAATCCATGGGTCCCGGGTTCGATCCCCGGCTGAGACAAGCATCGATGTGATGAGCATTTGGTGTTGTGCTTAGGTCTTGGGTGTTTAAATATGTATTTATATGTATATCTATCTATAATATGTATGTATATCCGTTGTAACATAACACAAGCTTCACCAGCTTAGCATGGGACTAGGTCAATTAGTGTGAATTGTCCAATCATAAAAAAAACCTCTAATATGGCAGACATATGAATAGAAGAGACGTAGTTACTGTTCCATTCACTATTATAAACATGATGTTTTGTAGTAGAACATTCAACGCGTAACAATGTTTTTGGGCGATTTATTATATAGCCTTGACATCCGGGTCACGTGATAACCTAAGTCACGGAAACGATCATGAAAATCAAATAAGCTCCTTTTTGTTTTTTTTCAGAAATCGGTTAAAATATCAGCCTTTAAGTGAAAAATGTTAGTGACGTCACGCACATTGTGACATGCCTTTACGCTTGTTTATAAATTGGGTCGAATGTTTCGTTAGTGTTTGTCATGTCGCCGGAGGCTTCTCCGGACCGGCTTTTACGTAATATGATAAGCTCGGCACCACTACATCAATGTCCACTATATTATCTTGAGATAAGCTAAAGCATCGAAAGCCAAAAATATAAAAGATCTTTTATTGATGCTTTTCACAAAATAAGTTACCATTACAGAATACTACAGTGACTATTTACAATTACATCACACACAAAGCAACACATTAAAAGATTATGTATAGGTATGTATAGGAACTGACATGAAGCAAACATTTTGTCAGTTCACTAAACGAACAATTAAAAATGTCTGTTAATCTATACAGTTCATTTATTATTTATATACACTGTGTGATTGCTCGGAGTATCATCATTTATTTATAGATATCTTATCAAATCTACTCAAATTTGATACATTGGAGATGAGTTCACATTCTTAGGAGATACAACTTTCAAGTATTAAAAATTTTGTATTTTAATATAAGAGCTATTCATTACTAATATTTTAATAATTAATAGCCTTGAAACATTGATGCAATAGTGATAAAAAATATTGAATATCTTAGAAAATCTGTATTCATATTTTTTGATAAAAAATTACCGACACCCAGTATAAGTTGGTACATTGGATAATGTTTACGTAGACAAAAAAATTAAAAGTGTTTTATTTTTTTTGCTGTAATGAATAAGGAGGCTTTGCAAGCCGTCTTGTATTTTTCTTGTAGTCTGTGGAATGATCTCAGGGTCGATAACTCAGTGTCAAATAATTCGAATCATCTGGTCAATGTCGTGTAAAAAAAAACGCTTTTAAAAGAAATTTCAGAAAGTAATTAAAATAATTATTTTATACACGTTCAAATACGATACCTTATTACTACTTTTAGTGATTAAGGTAATCATTTAATAATAATGAATATTTTGTCATAAATCAAACCCAGGTTTGATAAGAAAATATAGGATACCTAATCTACAGCGGTATAATACACGTAATATATATACTGTGACCTAATGTTTTGATAGCTAATCATTTTGTTAGATAGACGGCCTATTAAATATCTATTAACCTAGTTGGCATTTGAACATCATCGCCATATTACTATGTACGTGATTGAAAAACTAATATAATTACGTAATACGTTCTTGGAACTTGTTTTACGAGTTTATTAGTTGAAAATTCATATAGCAAAAATAAATAAAGCATTGAATGAGAAAAAGTATGAAGCACAGATTCAAAACTATGAAAATATATCTATACAATGAACATAATTTAAATACCTTTATTTAAAAAATAGGTTGTTATAGCACTTGAATTTCTGTTGAATTTTTTATAGCCAATTTTTTTATTATACGCCAAACGGGCAGAAGCCCATAGACACTCACATTTCCCAAAATGCTCGCAAGTGCCTGAATTACCTATTATATATAAAATAATACTGTAAAGAAAAACATGAAAAATATTTAAAAAAACCGGTAATGGCGGTAGCTCATATGCTTAATATTTATATTTTTAATCGACTCGGATTATAAAACCTTTACGTAATTGTATCTTTAAGTAACATACCCATAGACTTAAAATGTTATCTTCATCTATTGTTCATGTTTTTACTGTTTAATTTCGTCTATTAAATGATATTGTCTTTTGTGAATGAATGACATATTTAAAAGATACACTCTTTAACTTATCTGATTAAAGTTTGTTCATTATTACTATGCGAAAGGTTTAAAACACGTGGCGTATAGCTTGCAAGTGTGCACAATTCAAAGCAAAAAGCGACTTAATTATTTTGACGTTTATTACTCAATGTTATCAATAAAATGATTTTTTAACAAATATCATTTCGAGTTAGTAGGCACAGAAAATGTTTCTTGAAAAAAATCAATGATTCTATTTATTATTCAAGAAGGATATGGATCAAGAAGGGGATAAAAACAGTATATTATATATAATGAAATAAAAATTATAATTAGCGAAATTGCTGCAACGATTTATAGCAAGCAATTTAAGATATATCTTATTGATGCTCCGTTTAATATAACTTATGTTAAGAAGTCTTTTTCATAATACATAGTTTTTTTAATGTGTTAATAAAATTGTCCCTATACAAACAAAGTCATGAGAGTATTACCGCTTGACCAAGTATATATTCTACGTTGATTCGATCTTGACCTTTAACCGTTAATTTCTTTGGCAAATATTATTGTTGTTCTAACTAATATCAATAATAATTTAGCAATGTTTAGAATATATTTCAATATTATTTCATACTATTAGATGCAACTTGAAATGTGTGCATAGAAATTAGGACATACAAACTAAAGAATGTCCCAATATTTATATACTTATAGTCGTTTTTGATTGTTCACTGTCACTGCATTCACCTTACACTCATTCTCCATTCACCATACACTGCTTCCATTCATTCTCGAACATTATTAATGATTAGTTATCTATGCTTATCAATAGAAGACAATTATAATAACCAGGAAAAGAGCGTACCTATTATCATAAAGCCGGCAACGCACTCTCGACTATGGGCACTTAACATTAGGTGAAATATTTCATAAACAAATATTTTTCACCTGTGTCCGATCTCAACACTTCTTCCCGAGTATAGGCAATGTATTTTTTAGACACAAAAGAGTCTCTAAGGTAATCACTGTCCAGAAAAAAGTCTCTACTAAAAGCCTAAATGCTGGCATCGCACCCGGCGGTTGATGGCACTCCTATTATAATATAAAAAAAACCCCAAAAACTAAAGAGTCGAAACATTTAGAGGTTATTTACTGAATTATCTTGCATGCTTACTGTAATTTTAAATTAGTTGAACATCTTACATACAAATTGGCGTTTAATAATTTAACTTAACTTTGTTTTTGATTTTCAGATGCAGGCGTGGTTAGTTGTGGCGTGTGCCGCAGCGTTAGCGGCTTTGGCTGCAGCCCAGAAACCCGGCCGTTTCCTTTCACTGCCAAACCCTCAAAAGTGTGCCAATAGTAAGTAAAACAAATTACCTTGTGAATTTTGAAAAGTATGAACATTTGAAAATGAAAAGATCAATTCAACAGGGTTTGCCGTAAGTCCCGATTGAGTGATATAATTATTAAAAAATATTAATTACGATCTTGAGTCAGATTTTCGGATATTCGTCTATCGCAATATGATCTTTTATGGTAATATCAATTACTCACGCCTGTAACATCTCTATTTTCGTACAAAACTTTACTTTACTGCTGTAAGGTACTTTTGTTTAGGGCCCACAATAATTTTCGTCGTGCTATTTATAGTGAGCTTAGCATAATATGCTATAAATAAAATACCCTTTCGGCAAAAGTACTTAATAAAAATACCATTACAACAAATCATATCAATCAGCTGTTAAATGTTAAATTACATAATTTAACGAGAGTGAAATTATGTCATAAAGTAACCGGTTTGTAAATGTTAAGGTTGTTTATGGTGATCTAATTTTTGACAGACGATTCTAAAATTATCTATGGAATATTCTCGTATTCTGTGTCTTGTCTATTACCTTCGTAGTGTTGTGTACGATATTATTATTATACATATTAATGAAATCATTATTTTTGTTATGTGATCATTATATACATAGTGTTGTGTAATATAATAATGATGATAACAGTGTAATGAAACGCCGCGTAGCTTCGTTATTCCAGAGACTTATAAAAAGGCCGGCAAAACACTCGCAATTGCTGGTGGGCGATTAGATTAAATGTCCGGCCCATTTGCCCTCTGTTCTATAAAAAACTGAAAATCGTAGTTATTTTTCGGGAAAACAAACAATAAGTTCAAACAGTCTTAATGTTAATCTTATGTGATTGTATATAATATGATTATATGTATACCTATAATTAGTAGTCAGGTATTATTTTCTAATGTCTAATCCATAAAAACAAAATTCTTCCGCGGTTCATGTTTTTAGGTAAGAATATTTACGCTTTATTATTATAGATACCAAAGTTAAAAAAAATACATTATTGTATAATGCATCTTAATATTCAAAAATACAAACAAATTTCATATTTCTTTATGTTGATTTTCGTAGGTTTTCTCTGAAGTAAAATATAAAACAATTAAATTCTTAGCTTTTCCGTGTTTAGTTATCACCGCCGTCTTAAAAAAAATTTGAGTTCCAACAACAACACCGGTAAAACAATTTTTGTGTCGGCTTAATAGAAAGGCATAATCACTAACTAGATTATCAATGACACAAATGCAGAAATATGTGAGTCCCATACATGGATAGTTACGAAAATAGGTTATATTATGTTAATTCAAAAGACAAAATTATTTACCATATAAAACAAACTTCTAGAATAGGAAATAAGGTACAATGAACTTAGCAAGTAGAAAGTACTAAGAGTATTTACTGGAAACGTAGAAATTTACGTTTTGTCATAAACCATAACAAATTACTATTGTGTACACGTAAGGAACTCGGCTTTCTACAATCAATTAACATTAAAGAATAGGTTAGTTTTATGATATGTTATTATGACATGTTTATATATGAAACGAAAAGAAACAAATATTGGAAAATATGTACAGATATTTTTCATTCATATTATTTCTTCGGATTTCTGTATCTGTTCCATGATCATTTGTCAATCTAATAGGCAAGTAGGTGTTCAGCCTCCTGTGCATGACACACGCCGTCGACTTTTTTGGGCCTAAGGCATGCTGGTTTCAACACGACGTTTTCCTTCACCGTACGAATATTAAACGTGCACATAGACAATAAGTCCATGGGCGCACAGCCGGGAATCGAACCTACGACCAACACTGCTTTTTTTATTCCACTGCATTTTTCTTATTTACTATGATTAATATTCACTATATCCATATTTTAAGCATTTGTACTCTGTAACAGTAACTTTATTAAACTAATTATTTTATTAGCGACACGTTTAAACAGCCTCTATAAGATCCGGTAAAATGTTCTTTGAACTTACTTTTGCTTTTTCGAGTTCCATGTACAATATAAGTTTGTTTAAAAAGGAATTGATGTACTAATATATCTTAGTTTTTTGTTTCGATACAATTATTATCTTAAAATATTAAAGGGTTGGGTGTTAAATACCACCGCACTTTTTTGACGATACTAATTATCAGGGTCAGGGCTTCATTGAACACCTCAAGTGAGTTTTGCTCCGGAAACGGTCTAAATATTTTTATAAAAAATTTAAAGTTTTGTGTAATGTATTAAAATTTGTAAACAATCCGCCATTTTCTACTTTTCTATTGGTTATAAGTGATGTGACGTTCACTTAAAAAATCGTGGTTTTAATTATCGATTGTTAAAATGTTTTATTTATTTATCGATATTTCCTCATTTTTGAAATTTAAAGTTATAGAATAATCAACATTGAAATTAACCTAATTTCGTGTTGATAGATTATAGGTTCCGAATTTTTGAAATTATCGATACCTACTCGTCTGTATTTTCTAAAAGTATGTATTTCATTGTTTGCAACTTTCTATATTATTTAATTTTTACTAGAATAAAGTGTTTACTTTAATATCCAAAAAGTACCCAAAACCGAATAGAGCACCCCACTATCCACGTGGTCTTGTTGTTACCCCTAGAGTGTATATAAAAATCGGAGGCGCGGAGGAAGAGAGCCCCCACCCGCTGTAACAAAGCACAGGCATTATGAAAGCTGTAGGGTGAGGCCGGAGCTGTCCAAAAAACAAATATTATTTAGATTGGTTAGGTTAGAGTTAGTATATGAATATTTGGTCGCCGAATTTTCAATTATTTTTAATATTAAAATCGAATACAAAAATCGATTTTCACTTTAAAAAAATCGATTATTTTTCACATCCCTATTAATTTTATAAACTTAATCGGCCATTTTGAATGTGGTTTATGTAGACTAGGGTAATTATTAAGGAAGTTTACTTTATAAATCTTTATAAAATTTTTGACGCGTTTCCGGAGCAAAACTCACTTGGAGGTGTTCAATGAAGGTCTGAGACTCTAAATAATTAGTATTCAAAAGTGGATATTACATATTAAACTTTTAGTGATTTATTCTAAACAAAAGTAATTATTACTTTAATAGCGGCGTATAAAAAGTATTGCTAGTTAGCCTCGTTTACGGTTTTGGTTTCTTTTTTTATTGCTCTATGGTTTTGATTTCCTAACTGGCCAGTAACATGTGAAATTCCAATACACTCTGTGATATTTATTACAATGTGAAACATTCCGACCTTCGATTTAATTATTGTAAATATCGATGGTATATTTCGTAAAGGTTGTAAATCATCAATACAATACGAATTTCAAAATAACTGAGAGGCATCTATCATTACGTACTATTGATATTTTAATGATGTAAATAACAAACACGAACTATTGCTTATTGGTATTGCTAATAAAATTAAATGTTATGGGGTATTTCAATAATATCAAGCCATAGTAACGGACACATCAATAGAAATATAATAGTCTAGGGAATCAAAATTAGGAAATATATTAAGGCGAGCCAGTAACCGACCTCTAATGAAAGTATGGCATACAAACAGGAACACTAACCCTTATTCATAAAACCAAATCTGTCATTTGTTTAACTAGATCATTATTTCGTCTCATTCCGCTAAATTGCGATTACGCTGTAATGAAAAGAAACAGATGAGTACTTTATTTAAAACGGCGCAATTAGCGAACTGTGGAATAGACTAGATTCCCGGTGGAGGTATACCCTCACGACAACAACCTCCAATTGCTTAAAAAGATACCATATTCCCCTTAAAGGCCGCAGCCACTAAAATGGGTTTCCATGTGCGGATATGACTGCCCTTTATCGGCGTACCCTAGGCTCGTTTGTATCCCATAAAAAAAATATGAAATGGTGTATTTGGTTGCAACTTGCTATTGAAATTGAATCAAAAAGGTGAAAAAGTTTTTAATCTGTACTTGAAACATTAATTATGAACATCCTTAATCTTAATTTAAAATTTCAGATATGGCCAAAATATCCGTAGAAAACTTCATTATAATCCATCATCATGTAAACTTTAAATGTAGAAACACCACTAAATTCGCAAGTTAATTCAATACAAACATGTTTCGAAATAAAAATGTAGCCAATGTCCAAACTAGCTTTACCCTTAACGAAACAATGCTGACAGAATCATGAGACTGTACACTATTGTGTTCCACACAATCACGGTTCACACATCTGTCTGTCACTACGCAAGGTCTAACAATCGTCGCTTACAATCAAATAGCACCTCATTATCGATATTTTTGCAATCCTAATAAGAAATAAATTATTTTGATATATCTTTTTAACTAGCTATCTCTGTGCTTATAAAGAGTTGTAAATTTGTGAATACTTAACCTCATTCGTTACTATTCAATGTGCTGGCTGGTTAGACATGAGAAAAAATTATATATTGTAATTATGAAGACTCGATATTGAAAAACAGTAGTCTACTCTTTTGCCTGAACATGTGTATATATATAATTAAAGAACCAACTCATTATTTGAGCGAATTTATTTAGACTGAATTTAAAAGAGAGAGTTTTGTAATCCGTCGCATATAAACACGTTTTAAAACATAAGTTATGAACTTCCAAGATGTCATGTAATGCAAAATCGACAGTAAAAATGTACCGTAAAATATGTCATTTAAAAAATTGTGACGGGGTGATACTGCGTCGTAATATCAAGTTGCGTACATATCAGTTTATGCCTAAATAAAATCAAATAGAATACAATTTTTAACATTTCACCTTTGGATATTTGAATAAAATGTAACGCCATCTCAGTTTGATTGTTAAAAGAACATCCGGCAGAAAATCCTTGGCCCAGTTGGTTGTTGGCACCGCGTGACAGAGGCTTCTACCTCGATCAAAGATGGCACACACGATAAATGACAATAATTAATAATTTAGCTTATCTATAGAAGCATAACGAGGAAAGTTTTATAAAAACAAAAGAAGGCTCGGTATTATTAAGCGCAGAGTGGGTCTTCACTCCGTTAAAATACTACTCGCAAGGCAATTTTTTTGATTAGGTGTCTGGGACAGATAATATTTGAAGGTCGATTCTTCTTTGGTTTAATTCAGACATCTTTTTATAAAATTGACATATCTTTTGTATTTCGAACTATAAATTCATGTATTTAATACTCGCAATCATCAATAACTCTTTCTAAATCGTTGCATTTGTAATAAAATAAAATAGAAGCTGTAATTACAATGAAATTATTTCAAATATGCGGTAGGTATCGCCCAAATTCAGCTTCTGGTTCTCTTATGATTATTATAAGGCAATGAAATTCCAATACTTAAAACGCGACGTCCAGACAGTATAACGAAATACGGAAAGGTCGGCTTATGTAAAAGTTCCTCTTTTAGCAAATATTAATCTTCAATGTCATGACCATGATTGGCTCGGTCAATGGGTACATGACCCGTCAACGCAACAGTATCTTTAGAATTAGTAATTCTACTTGAGGTCAAATTACGTAACATCAATGCATTTAAAAGTATGAATGATAACATCTTATGAATCTATAATGTCCATTACAACATTGTTTTACAATTATTATAATTAGTAACCTACTTAAGTACACGACTCACTCTTACTTAAAAGGTCAGAATTGCTTTTCGTTTCGCGCATTTCTTGAAAACAATAGTTTTTAATGTTACCACATGTGAACTATGGTTTGCCGCTTTACATACTAAGCAACTATCCATTCATAAATCTGTAGAGTTTAGTTGCTATCACTTTACTCGCTTTTTAATATTCCAAATTTGAAAATGCTTAATGCTTATACTATTGCCTTGTACCAACTGTTACGGTACATCAATCCTAAAAGGATACATACTGTACCCAATTAGAAGTGGAAATACCAAAAGGCTTTGAAATGTCTCCTTTGAAATGAACTCCTTTGAGGTATTCGTTAATGAACAAGAACATATGTAAAATCCCAAGCTTAATCAAGTATTCGACGTAAATGTATAGTGTCTGCATCGCAACTTATATCGTAATAAAATGTAGATATTCATTTAATAATAATAAAACTTTATTTAACAGAAATATGGTTGTGACAAAATTGATCTAACGCTATTCCCCACACTAGGGAGTAGCCCCTGTGTTGTGGGTAACTAGATTTAAATTTAAATTATTAAAATATGTTAGTGGTATATCTAATCATACAAAAGTCATGTAAGAACTTAAGTATGCGTGAATTTATGACTATAATATACTCTTTATTTGAGAGTGTGGCTGAGAGTTTTGTTCTTAAAATTAATATTTTATTAATATAATTATTTTTAAACTAATCTTGGCCTTGACCAAAAACAAGAAATAGTGTTAATAAACATTAACACTCATTAGAATAATTTTAATCTCATTATGCAAAAAATTGATGTCAAAACCTGTTCTAAAATCCGTTTTAACATAACTTTTCCTATTTTAAACAAAAACAATTGAACGATTGTGTTGTTGAAATAATTTGAAAGATTTCTATTTCGTGGTTTGTCGGCATTACACAAGTCAAATCAAAACAGCAGGTTACATCAGTTATTAGGCAACGGGTGGCCTTATCGCTAACAAGCGATTTCTTCAAGGCAACCCTAATATGGAACAATAAAAAAAAGAAACACCTACAGAGGGTAAAGTACAAGAAGTGCATAAATAATTAACAAAAACTCAAAATAACATATAACACTACCTATAATTAAAATGAAATAAAATCTAAAGAAAAAAGAAAAAACTAATAAATAAACAATAATATGTAAAAACCAAAATGTAAAAGCAAATCCAAGGGTTGATTGAGTCACAATTAATATATATAGTAGTAGCTAATTACGAGGCAGAAGAAAAATTATCAACAAGAAGATTTTTAATAAATTTAAAGACTGAGCTCGTCTGATATCAACAGGTTAGGAATTCCATAGCAGGATACTTTGCACAGTAATGGAGGAGTGATAGAATTCAGTTTTATGAGTAGGAACAGTTACAGGTTATATAAGTTGTAAAAACTGCCAGTGTATTAATAACGTATTGTATTATGGTAATACAACATTCTGTTCTTCCTCAGGGCCGAAAGAGTTCAACTACCGCGGCCACAATTACTTCTACAGTGGTCATGTGCCCGAGCTCGCAAACAGGAAAGTCGACTGGCTGGACGGCAGGAACATATGCCGCGAATATTGTATGGATCTCGTCTCCATGGAAACCCAGGAGGAAAATAATCTAATCTTCAAACTCATCCAACAAAGTACGTAAAGACATTTCTATTTAACACTTTAATATTAAAGATAAAATTAAATTGGCATAACGTATTTTTACTGGATAATTTAATTAACTTTTTCTAACCCTTTCTAGATTTAGAGTACTTTTCAAAACCCCATATTCTAAAGCGTGACTCAAATTTAGTCGTAAAATTTTTCCATTTAGTTTGACGTTTTTAAAAGTACTTATACAAATGCGCACCAGATTTAGTTATCTATATTTTTAAAGTAAGTTGCATATGATTATAAAAAAAAAGATTTAACTTTTTTTTTTAAATTGCGCCTACAAATCTTTTAGACATAACCACAAAAACATTATTGACAGTTAACATTCCAAATTGCAATATTTGGCTGTTTGCCTAACACGTTCAAGGAATGTCGATTTCAAAACTATCTCCAAAGCAAGAGTTATTTTAAATACAGTGAGTAAATAGAGGTACACATTACGTGTGCATACATAATTAATAGATTAATCAAAAGAAAACGTACATATTTTTTTCGTAATTCATTCCTTGTACTCAATAAATTAAAATTAAAGTACAAATTAATTACTAATATAGTCGAGAGAATGCACAAGAATTTCTTACATTTACAACCCTTAAATAATTTAAACTAAAAATGTACATTTAATAAGGAAAATATTTGATAGTCACACTTAATAATATGTTACGCGCTTATTAAGATATAACCGTGTTGTACCAACGTGAGTACCAACTATTATAGCGATAGGCTTCAGGACATCGTAGCGTTTTTGTACTGTCCAAGTATTACAAAATTACAATAGAACAAGTAGAACAAATATTACAAAACTGTATTGAAAATTCATACGAAAGCATGGCATCGTAATGCTTATTATTTGCTTCGCTATTGGAAGTTACTGTAGTTCCGGCGTTGTAGCAACAATGTCAAAATTATAAACTGTTTTTTTGCATCAATACAATTATGTAGAACTTACAATGGTGGAATAGCCTTTATCCAAATAAGTCTATTCCGCAAACCCCTGTTTTTATTTTATTTTTATATAATATTTAAATTACAGATGATGTTCCTTACATCTGGACGTCTGGCCGCCTGTGCGACTTCAAGGGTTGTGAATCTCGTCGTGACCTGGAACCTAAGAACGTCTTAGGTTGGTTCTGGTCCGCCAACAGGGAGAGGATTTCATCCACCAACCAGGTAAGCTGAATTGTAGAATTAGCTGTCATTGCAAAATAGAAATGGACGCTGAAGCATTTAAATAATTAAAAATTAAATAATAATTATTAATTTAATTTATTATTTATAATTTTGAGATTTCAACTTAAATAAATTCACTCGATCCAAATTGCATCTCAAACTATTCTTTAAAAATAGCTAGTTACCTTCTAAACAAAGTCAAAGTCAAAAGTCAAAAATCATATTTTATTCATATAGGCAACATAATGAACATCAAAAAAGATATAAATATTAAATGCTTCCAATTTTACATTTACTGCCAGTTCTCAAATCAAGGGCGTAGAACGGAAGAGAAGAACTGGCAATAAACTCTCCGCCACTCTTTTACTACTTTCTACCCAAACTATTACATATGTTATAATATATTATCTTATCTAAGCTTATAAAATTGAGAGGCGTTTATTAAAAAACGACACCACAAGTACAAATTATAAATTATGAGAAGTGATTGTTAATAAATCGTTCCACAGATTGCAAACGGCTGGGGCTACAACCCGTGGTCGCAGACTGGTCACAAGAAGCAACGTCAACCTGACAACGCCGAGTACGATATCAACGGAACCACAGAGTCTTGCTTAAGTATTCTCAACAACGTATACAATGACGGTATCGCCTGGCACGACGTCGCGTGCTACCACGAGAAACCTGTCGTCTGCGAAGATTCTGAAGAACTACTCAACTATGTAGCCAGCACAAACAAGGGCCTCCGCCTGTAATTCCATAGAAAATTCTCATATCTATTCCCCATTATGTCCATATTTATTCGCACCGCCATGTTCTTCACTGCCTGACGTACAATTGTACAGAGTAGAATAAGAAATTAAATTTAAATTTATGATAAGTTTACATAAGGGAATTTTTATTTGTATATAAAATAAAATTTAATAAATGTTACCTGTTTTATTTATTATTGATTATTATCGCTTCTCGTCTTAGTTGCATTATAGATTTCTAAATGTAATATAATTTTTATAACTTTCATCAATGTATGCAAAACGCTGTGTTCGTGCTGCTTAAAACCTGAATTATTTCACATTTTTTAAACATAGTATTATATTTTAATAAATTTTTCAATCAAGTATTTACAATTATTTACAATTTTCTAAACCTACAAGGTAATAGGTACTAAAAATTATTAAAAATTATTAAAAAGAATATTAAAACAAATTTAAAAAGTTTGGTCCCCGTGGCAGTGTACCTATGTATCTTTAACGCTGGCAGCATTTCCTTATTCGATACTTATTCGTTGAGCCCGGAAAGCACCAGCTCTAGAGTCACCGGTATTATCTACCAGGCGCCGACATACATCTTTAACAAGCGCCTATGCACTTGAACCTCACGGCCCAAGAGACTCTACTCCAAAGGGAACAAAAGTTGGAGGAAAGACTCTTATATTTGTAAAATTATGTTATTAAGTTGCTGGAACATTGATGGAGGTAAAAAAGCGGCATATATCGTTCATCGCGGCGTTGCGAGAAAACGACCTGCACTCTTTTGGCAATGGAGGCCATGTGTCCAAGGCTACTTACTACAAAGCCACAGGGACACTTATGGGCAGTACATATGGGCACTCCTAAGCGGAGGCTCATGGCAATGCGAAGTGATTCAGGGTCCAAAAGCAACTAACAAACAGTGGCAGTTGGCACCCTTTTGGACCCTAAACACTGGCTTAATGCCCGGCTTCCCAAGACCCCACAGCCACTAACCTTGCGCGGTCTATTATTGAAATGTGACCTAATAAGTTTTGGAATTCAGATTTGCAAAGAGGATCCCAGCTCCTTTGAAAGTTCACTCTAGAAGGCAAACTCAAGCCTGGGTTGGATGCTAACTACGCGTTTCTCGCATCTGTTAAATTCGCAACCTCGTAGTTTGTAGAATAAGATCTAAGAATTTAATTATTATATTTGGTATATCGATATCCGTATTCATATAGGATACCAAAGATAACTTAATTAACGTTAAGGATACGCATTCGATTCGAATAAAAAAAAAAGAGTGGCATTTACTGTATTTGATTTTTCATTTTTTTTGATAGAAAAGTAGTTGATATTAATCTTCTGTGCCTGATCAGATTTTTTGTTCTTAAGTCGATTTCCTCACAATGTTTTCCTTCACCGTATGAGCGAGTGAACGCGCACATATTAAGAAAACCCAATCGTGCACAATCCGTGATTCATAGACACGAAGGGTTGAGGGATGGCTCATGCCAACATTGTCCAATTCAAGAAGTATTTTCAGAAAGTGCTAAGGCGCTGTAGCTCTATCTACGAGTTAATAATTATTATTATAACCTAATAGGATTGGAAAGACGTTTTATATTAAGATGTTCTTAATGTATAGAATGTAAATGCCAATGCCAAAAAGGCTCAATCCTGGTAGAAGTGGAGTGATTCTATAATAATTATATTTTTCTAGTTATATTCAAACTAAAGCAAATATCATTTATTTATGTAGGTTTACTTATTGTATACTTATTAATGTAAAAAAATTAAATAACTAAATTTACAGTTATACGATTAAACTTACTAAATAAAATTTAATAAATCCTTCGTCAATATTTTTGTTATCTGGAATAAATGGAGAGCGACAAAGTTGTTACCTAACACATGTTTGAACTAAGAAAGACAATTAAAATTAAACAACTTACTTAGAAATGCATATTAATTGTATTTATTTAATTTAACCAACATAATATATAGCTGTTTGTAAAAAAATTGGAAAAGAATTTTTTTTAGTTAAATTGTAGCGCCATCTTTGAAATAATTAAAATAATATTTACGTTGGCTCCTTACATAGTTATAAACTTAACAAAATGTTTGTTATTGTATTTTATTCAGAGGAAAACAGATGGCGCTATTCGAAGAAAATATATATTACAGACATTTTCAAATACTACTTACTAGTAAAATAATATTATCAAAGGACTGTATTTTACAAAACCGACTAGTTTTTCGACTAGCAGTCACCAAAATTGCTAACTCAGAGTGCAAGATTTGGTGATTTACAAGAATTCATTGTTACATTCCCGCTCGGTATACTTTTATGGTCTAAAATCTAAATATATTAAACTAGCGGATCCGACAGACGTTGTCCTGCATGATATTTCAAGCGATTAGGATATTAAACAATGTAATAAAGTACCGACCATCTGCTGCGGGCTTATTTGTGAATCTAAACCATCCAGGTGGAGCCCCAAACGCATACAAAAAAAGTCATACAAATCGGTCCAGCCGTTTAAGAGGAGTTCAGTGACATACACACGTACAGTAGAAGTATGTAAGCTATCCTATCTTTTAAGTTAGATCAAACTGGCACACGGTGTGCAAATTTGATTGAAATTAGTTAAGTAGTTTAGTAGTCCATAGCGGACAAACAACGTGACGCGTAATTTATATATATTAAGATATATTGGTTATACTCTTTACGCCTTAATTAACGATTATCACTTCATACGTTTGTTAAGAACTTGTACAATCGTAAACAATATATTTCTCCTTGTAATAAAATAATAGCAATGAAGTCTTAAATAACAACATCGCTAATAAGCAGTTAATTTAAAATCATATTCTTACAGTACAGTTTTCATATTCCTATCAGATTTAGCCCACGGACATGGGGCACGTATCGGCGGTTTATTGATAATTTAAAACGTTAATAGATGATCACCTTTAATGCCCATACACCCTTGACACCTTTCGCCGGGAATCGAACCAAAGTTGTGTACGTGACTTACGACTACGGCGCTATAATGGATAGTTCATAGATTCCTTTTCACCAACGTAAACATCTCAATGAGCTATTATTGTATGTCCAAATGTGTCTAAATGCATATTAAAACTAGTCAGAATACAGTAAAGAACGCAGTCATATACAACCAATATACCACGGCGACTAATACTAAACTAATATTACGGGAATTGTATTCATAACTTCATGCAATCAATTTCAATTCTTATAGATTAGGCAATTAACTTGTATTACCTAATTAATTATTGTTATAAATTGTTGTCACCATTTAAGACGAAATCAAACTAATTCGGGATTTTAATATAGGTATGGTATATGTATGTCAATATGTTTTACGAGTATATGCCATAGTGTGTTATATTCATTTGATTCAAATCTTTGACCACCCAAAAAGATTACTCTTGGGGTCTGCCTATAGTGCCACGTGACTACTGTCAATAAACCCTCGCCCCATTTAAAGGAACAAGTAGCATCCTTAAAATTCAGCTTGTTATAGTCGTAGCATTAATTCAATTGTTTCAGGAATGTCACGAAGTGGTAAGTGTGAAGCGAGGTGTGGTCAGGCAGTTAGTCATGATGTGTAGATGTTATTGGAAGTGGCGGCTCTCCCGGCTGCTTCGGGCGGTCGGAATGCAGCGCGGGGTGCGGGCGGGGGCCGCTGCTGCCGCCGCGACGTTCGCTGCTGCCCGCCTCGCCAGTTCGCCGCGCGCCACACGACTCGACTGTTGTTATTACGAGCGCGCCGCAACATCTCTCCCGCCCGCACGCTGGTAAGTTACGACCTTCGTTCTTTTAGCATAATAACACCACTTAAGCGCTCGCGACAGCGATGTTTTAACTTTTATAACACAAACCGTCCATGTCATCCCCTTTAGCAGAACGCTGAAGATGCGAATCCCTAAATACTTACCGGTCAACGATTCTGCGGCTTTATCAGTGTTACATATTTATTATTTGTCGGTACGGTGAGGTCAGAGGCGTGCGCGGCGATGTATACTTTATCGTGAGAGCCATAAGGTTGACTTGTTTCGATGACAGAGCAAATACGACCGACCCTGGAATTTTGCTCTTTGCTGTGCTCTTGCGTCGTTCTGTTTAGCGGGTATGGGATGTCACGATAGTTGTACTTCCCTGTGAAAAAATGTTATGACAATTAGTGAAAATGTTAAGATTTTGCATTTATTCTAAAAGATGCAATTAGTCAGCAGTCGTTGTTGAAGTAGTTAGTAGTTCGCGACTCACTCATTAACGCTATTATTTCTTCAATAGTGTACTCGCCGTAATCATTGGTAACGGCTGTAACCATGACGTGCCTATCGTAACACCGCGTGACTTCAGTAGCCGTCGTTGAAACATAATACAACCAAGAACGTGAAATATATAGTTTGAATATATTGCGTTAACGAAACGACAGGCCGACGCGCCCGCGGTGTAGAGTTGCCGAGGGATCCGGCACTCGTCCGGTGTTGTCTTCACCAGCAAAGTGCCTTGCGTGTTACGAAGTCGCCACACGCGATACTAGCCCTTATGGGATATGAGTCACGCCCTCAAATTGTGTGCCTCCGTAATGGTGCTTAGTATACCCTAGACGCATCGTTCACACAGCTCACGGCCTCGTTATATTCAATTTACGCGAAAACGGCACGTAATAGCAGAGCGAGTAGGTACAATACTGCGTGAGCGGGTTGGGTACTAACAGTGTTTCGTCCTCGCAGCAGGGTCGAGATCCCCGACGCACAAGAGAAAGCCGGGGGTGGGTGACAGGCAGGGTGGCGGCGCTCCCCAGGAGTGGTCGACCCGGGACTTCCAACAAGGATTTGCTAAATCTGCTGCTTTTGTGTCGAGGTCGTCGCAATGTGAAATAACTATTTCTTGTACCTTATATTCAACACTGTATGAATCTAGAAACCAGGAGAATAGGCTAATAAGTATTTCGCGAAATGCAGGCCGTTGCTCATTAGAAGATGTGACTATGTCACGCGACTTTAAGTATCGAATTAGTATATGATCCTTAGAGGAACAATGCCCTAAGCGATAACAGCACACACCACTGATCTCGTGATCAAACCAAGGCTCGGATCCGCCCCTGACACGTCTTGAACATAAAGAATCTTGTTAGGCGCACGCATTGTTCAAATAATGTTAACATATCGGTAACAATTATGTACGATAAAGAACCAAACTGCAGCATGCAACTGCCTCTTGAAATCGCTGGGAAACGAATGATGAAATCCGTTGAAATGCACTTTGTATATTCAGCTCATGTTCGTTACGTACTAAAGAACCTACTGAATGGAGGACAAATCGAGGGGTTTTCCAAAGAGGATTTTTATAAAAAATTTAATTAAAAATCTAACAAAATGAAAAAGTTAAAGGCGGCGAAAGTTGCAGGTATTTTTTATTTTCCGCAATTGGTTATGAGACAAATAAAATTTACCTCTTCATAAACCTAATTATTTTGAACAAAACTAAAAAAATAATAACATTTTTTTTCAGAAAATTCGTTTGTATACTGTCTTTGAGCTAACTATTGCAAAGAATTACTTGTTGAACGAACAAGTCGTTGCCTCATTGGACCAGTGCCGATAATTTTTGAAACCTAAAAAAATAATAGTAGGATGAAACCTATTGGAAAAGGAGGAGAATATTATAAAAATTAAAGGAAAAATAATTTACGGGCGATCTGAGGTCGGGAAAGGGTAGGGGGGAGTTTAAGGGTAAAAAACGGTTTATCTCGATTTCCGGCAAAACTAAAAGTCCTATCGAAGAAAGTTAAATGACAAAGTTGTAGGTAATAAAAAGATCTAAAACTTTTGTATTCACACATTTTTCACATAACCTCAAAATTTATGTGAAAAATTCAAAAAACCAAGTTTTTGGTTTTAATTTTTATCTTTTACAAAAAAAAATTTTTTAACGAAATTTGATGAATACTTACCTTTCTATGTCCCAAATACGCTGTAATTTATTTGATTAAAAATATTTATTTTTTCACCTTATTTTGAATTAATATTGAAAAAACACCCTAATTTTCAATCGAAAATTCACCCGTCAAAATATCAGCTTCACGGCTTGACAACGACGCGGCATGCTTCGTATGATCCTCCGAATATCTTCTTGTGGAATTCGCTCCCATTCTTCAATCAACGCTTCAGTGAGCTGCTGCAGTGTTTGAGGTGCAATCGGACGCTTCCGGATGCGCCTGTCAAGCAAGTCCCAAATGTGTTCAATTGGATTTAGGTCAGGGCTCATGGAAGGCCACTCCATTACACGGATTTCCTGTTTGACGTGATGGCTGCAGTATGCGGCCTGGCATTATCTTGCATTAAAAGATGTGCCGGAAATCGAGATAAACCGTTTTTTACCCTTAAAACTCCCCCCCTACCCCTTCCCGACCTCAGATCGCCTGTAAATTATTTTTTCCTTTAATTTTTATAATATCATCCTCCCTTTCCAATAGGTTTCATCCTACTATTATTTTTTTCACTTTTTATTTTTTTTAAAGGCTATCTGCACTGGTCTACATAGGTTAAGAATATGGTAAAAATTGTCAGTGTTAGCTTGCAAGCAAGACGCTCGCCCACAGAGGCTCGAAGATACGGCATTTACAACGCTACACACCCACTCAGGCTTAAATGTCATTAAATTCAAAGGAAACAAACTCACATCAATTTTAATTCACCTAACATTAACCAGAGATTTTCATAAATATTTTGAATGCGATTTTTAAAGAATACCTTTATGTACTGTACAAACAGTGTTGGCCTAGTGGCCAGCGTGGTTCCGCGTGCGGCTCTCATCATGAGGTTGTAGGTTCGATTCCCGGTGCACCAATAGACATTCTATGTGCGCATTTAAAATTCGCACGAAAGGTGAAGGAAAACGTCGTGAGGAAACCACTTGCCTTAGATTCAAAACCCTACTAACCTATTAGATTGACAAATGATCATGAAACAGATTCAGAAATCTGAGGCCCATACCTAAAAAGGTTGTAGAGCCACTGATTATTTTTTTATTTTACATTAAGTTTGTGTTTTTATATTTAATATTGTTACACGACCTCCGACGGAATGAGGGTCTCCTCCAAATACTTCCGTTTCTCTACTATTTTCCAATGTTTCCCCGCTATCTCTATTATTTCATTTTCCCAGGTTTCTGGTCCTCTAAAGTACGTCTTAAGTAATATACTATACGAAATTATCTCTTATAAGTTCAATAGACCGAAACTAGTACTTATAGGACACCCTAAGATTTAGAGTCGAGACTTAGCCGTAAGTTACTCCCATGTGTCGAAACGTATTGGATTTGTCTCGACTCTAAGGGTAATACTCTGAAACGAGACTTGTCGCTGGATTTTGACATAAGGGAGTCATAGTTTGCTAAGTCTTGTTTTTGATATATTTTCAAATTCAAAATCATTTATTCATTTAGGTACACTTATGAACATAAAGAAATACATATTAAGTGCTTCTAATTTTACATTTACGGACAGTTCTCAAATCAATTTGAACGGACGAGAAGAACTGGCAATAAACTCTCCGCCACTCTTCTAAATCGTGAAGTTTTTCGTTTTAAAAATGTTTGTAAGGAGCTGCAACCATTACAACATATTCCACATGACATCTTTAAGTAATTAAATTTTGTCTTTTGGTTGTCCAATATATCTACTCGTTTCTTTGTTTTATTATGGCGTGCTATATGCCTTACGGATACCTTACAATCTCTATTGCAAATAACAGCTGGTCTTGTCTCAAGTAGTATAGATAATCTTTCCATTATCAAAGCAACATTTACTTAGGATTTTTTCAAGCGGAAGGTCCGCAACAAGGACGCTAGAGCCATTACATGAATCGTCTCACTGACCGTACCCAATGAGTGTGAAAACCACGAAAATAAAAACAGATCAAAGAAATAATTCCAAACAAATGACTACGATTGAAATTTGTTTTGTGTATCCCAGTATGGACTGTGTACATTGCGTGGATTTACACAAGACCACTTAAAATTACTACTTTAAGGGGCTGTTTTATTATTACTTTAAATTATAATAAAATACAATGACGATATTTGTTCTTTGTGTAATATAATAGCATATTTTATTTACAAAATTAAATTCTTGATGTGATGGTTATAACTTTAATTAATATTACACAATATTATAGTAATTAGAATCTAAAGAAAACACTTTTTACCGGATTGAAGTTATGTATATTATAAATTTACAATGATTTTACATAATTCTACATTTTTCCGACGTTTCGCGTGCTTTACAGCGTGCGTGGTCACGGTGACTGAAGACAAAAGGTGTTGAATGTCAAAAAGTATCACAGCTGTAGAAAAAGTTGTATTATCTGTATTTATTTCCCCGGAGTTGGTATCGACTAAAAGATGGATAGTTTTGGCAGAAATGGCTCACTGAGTCCTCTATTTTCGCGGATACATAACTTCAAAACGTAAAAAGTTGTGTCATTAAAAGTAAAAAGTTATGTAATAAAATACAATACTATGTAATTAGAACATTACTAAAAGTTGAAGAATATTGGTTACGCTATTTTATTGTAAATTTATTACATAACTAGTGGATACGACACACATTGTTCTATACCCACGTCTTACATACAAAAGTATCGATATAATGTAAATCATTCTCGACTCCACTTGAACACACAAAAAATTTCATCACAATCTGTACAGTCTTTTAGGAGTTTAATTACGAACACATGCAAAGAAGATTTATATATATACCAGCTGTTTATTTGCTATATATAGATAAATTACCTAGTTAATGGCTGCAGCGCCATCTTCGGGGCTGATTTGTGAATCTTAACCATCCAGTGCGTCACCCAAACGCAAATACAGAAAAATTCATTCAAATCGGTCCAGTCGTTTAAGAAGAGTTCAGTAACATACTCACGTACAGTAGAATTATGTATATAAAGATATACTAAACTTGGTCTTTCGGATGATTCTGTAAGTGTTTATAATAGTATGAATCTTATATACGTAAAATTTCAGTTCCCATAGTTATGTAGCGGCTAGTAAGTCCCGTGGGAATCGATCCAAGGATACTTTTTATACGCCGACGCTACCAGTCTTTGCCAAAGAGAGAAATTCTAATCTTATACAATTTATATAGACTGCATACTACGACGCAAATATTTTCGCGTAACACAAATGTCGCCTGTATTTTATTATTTTAAAATGTCGAAGATATTTTAAAAGCGTCGTTGTTAACCCTACATATTAAATACAATTATATTGATAGAATTTTCATATACATGAGACGTTAGGAAAGAAAAGCGGTAATTATATAATTTTTTGTTATAGAAATACGTAATTAAAAATGTCAGTCATAAAAACGGCGTTAAACTAAGAAGATTCTAATGGAAAATTTATGTTTCCCTAGAAATCAAACCCACTAAATGGAATATTCTCAGGTCTGAATATTGTATGAATCGTTGGTATCATGCGGTACTTATGAATTTGATAGAAGTATTTTATCCGACTTCAAAAAATATATGTGTATTTTTTCGATTACATCAGTTCGTATCTAATCGGTGGGCGGTTACCACTTAAAATGGTAAATATGGCAAGAAGTCAGTTGATAATTGTCGCATGCATTGCTTCATGCTTACTTCGTGGAAGTAATTTCTTTAATGTTAAAGCGATGGCGTGTCGCAAGAAATGTTAGCGCTGAAAAGATTTCGTGAAGCGAAGTTAAAATACCATAATTTTATACCATCTACATTCCAAGATTGCGGAGGTTTTAATAATCCAGTGGCAGTATTAGATTTCATCATCTATTTCAGTTATCTGAATAGGTAGACGTAGATTTTTCAGTCTAAGAAATGCTGGCTTTCGCCCTAAGTTTTCTTTCACTGTAAGAGCAAGTATTAATTGCGCACAGATTACAAATTTATTGCTTTATTTGTTTAGAACCTTAACCACTCAGATTTCTTCGTCTTCAAGTGTCAATTTATACCTAGAGGTGATTGTCTGTGGCTTATTGATCCTTTACACAAGGAAGCAGTTCATTTAAAGAAAAAATAAAATGTAAGCAATCCTTGTTCATAAACCACCTCTTCCAGGCAAAATATAACAATTAAATACGATAAAATTTTCGCAGCAC